ACAGTATGTGCATAAATCGTATGTACATATGTGTGTAAATCGTTTATACCTATTATGTGTACAGTACATGCGTATGTGTGTAAATCGTGTATACATCTTATGTGTACAAACTATGTGTACATTTTTATCTTAAACGAGAATTGGTAAAAAACAAATATAATAATAGAAAGAAAGAAGAATAATGGATGACAGAATTATTTAATTATTTAGTAAAACAGTAATTAACAGGTGCAGTGATGATTAATGGGAAGGATTATTATCAATTAATTATATAACATCTGCTTTTATTAATAAGTGTGTGTGTGTGTGTGTGTGTGTGTGTGTGTGTGTGTGTGTGAGAGAGGACGTACACAGCTTATGTGCACCCGTCAGAGCCACTCCCACAGGTGCGTGATGAGGACAACACTGAACATCTGCCCTGCCCCTGCCCCGCCCGCCCCTGCCCTGACCTCTTCCCTCCTCCTCACCCTTTAGAACTGGAGTTAAGGGTCATGTAAGCATCCCTGTCCTAATAGACCTAACCTAACCTAACTTAACCTTAACTTAACAACCTAACTTAACTTAACCCAACCTAACCTAACCTAACCTAACCCACCACTTCAACCTCCTCTCCTCAACCCACCACCAACCCTCTGCACTCTTCAGCCTTCACTTCCCCCCCATACTCCACATGACCCCCATACCTCATACCCCCCATACCACATGACCCCCATACCTCACATGACCCCCCCATACCTCACATGACCCCCATACCTCACATGACCCCCCATACCTCACATGACCCCCATACCTCATGACCCCTACCTACCACATGACCCCCCATACCTCACATGACCCCATACCTCACATGCCCCCCCATACCTCACATGACCCCCCATACCCACATGACCCACCCATACCTCACATGACCCCCCCATACCTCATACCTCATGACCCCCCATACCTCACATGACCCCCATACCTCCCCATGACCCCCATACCTCCCTGACCCCATACCTCACATGACCCCCCATACCTCACATGACATGACCCCATGACCCCATGACCTCACCCTCCTGCCCCCATACCTCACATGACCCCCCCATACCTCCCATGACCCCCATACCTCACATGACCCCCCATACCTCACATGACCCCCCATACCTCACATGACCCCCATATCACATGACCCCATACCTTAGATGACCCCCATACCTCACATGACCCCCATACCTCACATGCCCTCACCTCACATGACCCCCCATACCTCACATGACGTGTTAGTAGTAGTAGTATTCATGGTAGTAGTAGTAGTAGTGTTAGTAGTCGTGGTAGTAGTGTTTGTGTTAATAGTTGTAGTAGTCGTGGTAGGAGTAGCCGAGATTAGGAGGAATGGGATTGACCAATCCAGAGGAGATTGCTGCCACCGAACATCAAAGCTCAGTTAAGCTCACGGCAGCTCTCACGGACCACATAATAGCTCAGAACGCAACAGGGGAGGTGGATATCAGTGAAGTAAACAAGATTCGAAGGTCCATTACGACAGAACGACAGCACTGCCAAAGTGATAAGTTGAAGCAACTGTTGCTGCAAGTACCAGAGAATTTGAAAAAAAGTAGCTATAGCGCAGGAGGTGGGCGCCTCGAACTGGTTAACTACGTTACCAATAAGGGCAAATGGTTTCAGTCTCAATAAACAAGAATTTACAGATGCCAATGCTCTAAGGTATGGTCGGCCAGTAGAAAGTTTGCCCTCCCAATGCGTGTGTGGCTCTTCCTATGACGTCGATCAAGCCATGGTGTGGAAGAAAGGGGGCTTCATATGCATGAGGCATGACGAGGTAAGGGATCTCACAGCAAATATGTTGAAGGAAATCTGCCGGGATGTCATGGTTGAACCGACCCTCCTTCCATTGGACGGTGAGATTTTCAAACATAGGACTTTAAACACATCTAACGAGGCCCGTGTTGACGTCAGTGCTTGAGGATTCTGGACACGGGGACAGCGAGCCTTCTTCGACATCTGGATTTTTTATCCCATGGCCGTATGTCACCGTAACTTAGCTCTCGATGCTGCACACAGGAGGAACGAGAACGACAAGATAAGGGCATACGGGGAGAGAATTCAGAGCGTTGATCAAGGCAGCTTCACTCCTCTATTGTTCACAACCTCTGGTGGGATGGGACCAAGTGCAAGATGCTTCGACGCCAGACTCGCGGAGATGCTATCCGAACAGAAGCAGCAGCCCAGAAGTTATGTTACAGCCTGGATGAGATGTCGACTGTCCTTCTCTCTCCTTCGGTCGGCTTTGCTCTGCCTCAGGGGAACGAGAGCATCGGCCCCCAAAGCCGACAACAGTTGCAGATATTGACTATGAGGCTACAGTCACTGTTTGCAGCACAGATCTGCGGCTCAACTAATTCAACACAGATAGGATAGCTACTTATGTATTAGGATATTTAATATTAAGGTAATTAAATGGTGGCGAAGGTGTGGCTATTGGGGGAGGCTGGAGGCCATT